GTAATTATTTAGACACCAAATCATCATTAAATATCTTCTAATTAAATACGTATCTGACAGTTCATCTTCCGATTCGTTCAGTACAATCGCGACGAGTCTTGAGTTACAACTTACTCAATGTTTCTGAGACTTTTAACACCCCTACTTGTTAAGAACCATAATATCATCGATTAGTAAGATGTTTCTTGCTCCTCCTCTAACCCCATGAACCATTTTTTGTCAAAATTTTGAGACAAATGATAATCAAGTATGGAGGTATTATCATTGGCATTCCCTCTTTCCCTTTCATGTTTCTTCTTTGGTTGATGAAACACTTTTTCTTCTTGCTCTTTCTTTTGCCTCTTTTGCTTTAAGAGGGTTTTCATAGTAGCCCTCTTTATTAACTCTCCCTCTCTCTTTTCCTTTCATCCTTCTTTGACAAATCCAATCAAAAGCTCTCCCCTTTTCTCCCACCACCCCCCTCCATATCAAGGAAAGATAGGACTTGACATCTTTAATCCCCATGAATCTCTCTCTCTCTCTCTCTCTCTTTTCTCACTTCCCCCCACAAACCTCCCTTTCCTCTCATATTTTTCTCAGTAACTCACAGTGATGTGTTCTTTCACTAGATCCTTCATCCATTTCAGGAAAGAAGGGAAAACAGCATAGTTCCAAACCATGACCATCAGTTCGAAAGATGCTGCAAAAAATTAACTGAGCTTTTTTCTGTCTGGTGATCTCTGTACATTTTTTCCATCGTTTCTGTTGCTGCTGCTGACTGTTGTATCATATCACATAACATAACATAACCTTGGCATGAAAAGATAGTTCAAGGCTGTTCTCCGAGGTGATGTTTAGTTGGCTGGCTGGCTGGACAGCAAGATCGTGTTTGGATTTTGTGCCTCGTAGTACCAAAATATTGGGGATCTGAGTCCACCTCTGGTTGTTTCATGGGCTCAGATTACTAAAACTGTCAGCTCGTGGGCTCAAGGTAAAGTAAAGCAGGCTTCATAAAACTTTGAGGCCCATTATCTATTCTGTTTGCGAACCGTGTATTACCCCACCTAACAATGGAGAAAACCATATTAATGGTAGTAGGGCTGCAAATGAGCCAAGCCGCTCGCGAGTAACTCGGCGTTCGAATCGGAAAAAACTCGTTCGTTACTCGACTCGTTATTTAACAAGCCGGCTCGCGAGCCAACTCGTTAGTTAACGAGCCAAGCCTGAGCTAGACCATGCTCAGCTTGATAAGCTCGCGAGCTAACTTGATTCGGTGGCTTGTCGAGCTAAGCTCGCGAGCTGCCTTGTTTTGAGCTTGTGGAAGGATGAATTACTCTTTTAAACATGAACATTGTCTTCTAATACAGATGTGTATGAAATTTAGATGTTATTTATAGTTTCTAGTGTTCCTTCTATCATTTAAATTCTTATGTTTATACATTTTTCCAGCAAAAATGATTTTAAATCGAGCTCAACTTGAGCCGAGCTTGTACTCAGCTTGACAAGCTATGTTAATGAGCATTTATCGAGCTCTACCGAGTCGAGCTCGAGCTAGATTATTTTTATTCAAGCCGAGCTCGAGCTCGAGTTGGATTATCAAAATTCGAGTTCGAGCCGAGCTCGAGCTGAAAAATTAATAAACGAGCCGAGCTCAACCTAAGCAAAAACTCGACTCGACTCGGCTCGTTTGCATCCTAAATGGTAGTAATAATATATTTTGGAGTTTGGAAATTCAGTAATGAGATTTGAAAGGGCTGATGATCTGGTTACAGTTCTCTCTTTACATTTTTCCCGCTCGATTGCTAGTTACAAGTATGGATTTTACCCATAGTTTCTTGATTGAAACGCCCAGCATTACATCCAATGATCCAGAGGAAGCTTCAATCCTTTACTATCAGTGATGTACAACAGTTTTTAGCTTGGTGAAGTTGCTACAAGCTCATATCTTCAGGTAAGCTGATCTGAAGAAAGTAAAGGCTGCAGAAAGAGCAAGAGAAATCTCAGTAAGAAAACGACAGAATCAAAAGGAAAGATCCAAGCAAGAGCATGAAAACTCAGAACTTTGAACAATACATGATTAAGGGTTATTCTGAAAGTAGTTTTCTTTCACTTCTTAGTTCTTACCTTGCAGACATGAAGGCCATTCCAAAGAACACAGCTTTAACAGCTTGCTTCTGTCCAGCATAATCAAAAGCCAACGGCAGCATCTCGTGTAAGGTGAGAAACGCCATCACTCCGCCAACTGCAGGGACCAAGACGGGACTAGTTGGTTTCCATCCCCATCATAGAAGTGAGGAGGCACAACAAAGTAGTAGAACAAACCTGCTCCCAGTAGACCCTCCAGTATTTCAGGATTCAAGCTGCTTGGGAATAGATATGCTGGAAATTCAACAAGAAATAGCAGTCTCAGTGAAATTATTTCAAACAAGGTTGGCCAGCATTATGCTACTTTACTCATGGCAGGTTTACACACCTACAACCACAACACCGAGTGGTTCTGCAAACCCAGAAAGTGTCGCCAATTTGAACGCTTCCCACTTGCTGAGATTGATACAGAACCATACAAAGTCAATTCAGCAGCTGAGATCATTCTAACTGGATTTGATCCTACACTGAGCATATTTTTATTTTGGTTCGACAGCCTATTTACAGGTCATGGCTTTATGAAGTATTACCTTTGTGTTGCAAAGTAAACAGGAAGTGCAACTGCGACACCCTGTGCAAATGATCAAGTCGATACAGACTTAATTAACTCCACTAATGGGGAGGGCTCCAAAAAACAACGACTAAGGGTGTACTAAGATAAAGATATCATAATACCTCTGGGATATTGTGCAGAGCAATGGCGAATGCTAAATTAAGACCAACACGAAGGCCCTACAAAAGAACTTCAGTTAATTACAAAAATGAATATTTAAGAACTTCAATTTCAGCCATGATGCTGGTATACAGCTTACCTTCAGTGATCCAAGGAACACAGCCATGCCCTCGGGGAGATTGTGCAAGCTTATTCCTGGATCAAAGAACACAACTTTCAGCCAATTTTGTAGAAAACTTGGCAAAATCATACAAACTGCAATGTTTACAATTCACTCGACATCCAGAAGATCTAGAATAGGATGTTAAGCCGTGATTTATTGGTCAAGACCTAATCTTTACAAAATCATACCGATTGCAGTAACAATCCCACTGTAGAAAACCTGACGACGATGCTTTTTCATCATATCCTTTCCCCCTTCGTCGCCATTTTCCTGTGACAAAGCAAAGTGCAAAGCATCAATACACCTTTGAACTAACATTCAAACATGGAATATCCAGCACAATGAAGGATTTCGAAAAAACCTTTTTCCTTTTTCCTTCTGAGGCTGGAGCTATTTGTGGTTCAGGAATGAATGTCACAACTACAGCAAAGAATATAATCCCGGCAAAAAACTGAAGAAAAGCAAAGAAGTATCATCATGATAAAGGGATGGAAAACAAATCATGTCCAAGCAGTGCATTAGCATGTGAAGCAAAATGTTGGGAAGGAATGGCTAACCCAAAGATTTCCCTTTAGAAAGCCAATTGAGTTGATGGCATTATGAGCGAGATCAAAGAACGATATGCTCAACATAAGACCTGCAGCAAAACCCTGCAGATTGAATAACGTGATGAAAGATATCATCTGGTTTGCAGAAACTGAATCCAATGTGCACCATAATCTACCAAGGAATTTGAACACCTGAGAATCACCTGTAAAAGGCCAAGCATCTTCAAGCTTGGCGCCCCAGAAAGTATTACAAGGAGAGCACCTGTTCATGATTAAAGTTTCGAGTGAGACTCGCAAGAACGAATCATGAAATAACACAACTGGGCGAGTGGACCACGACATGAACAAATGACTTTTCCCCTTATTCCATGAAGATGGAGTTTGCAATGGGTAATATCATATATCTTATAATAGTTTTGTCAGGTAAACCAACATGTCAATTAGCAAATTACTAAGCTTGCAAGCTATTACTTTCTTTCAAAGCTTCACGGTCCCTACATCATGTCCTTCATCCCCCTGAAGCCTGAAGCTTCACCTGCTATATGGATGACAGACAATCTAAACCTCAAAAGGCCCCCATTCAACACCAAGAGACTATCTCCAATGACAATTCACAGCACGAAAGCAAAGAAACATCCAACAAAACGTGAAATTGGAACAGAAGAGGGTGGAAGCTGCAAACTAACCAAGTGAAGTGCTGAGGCCGCCAACCAGCGAAAGAGCAAGCGCTACAATCACCTGAGAATCCATTTCCCCACCGCAGAAAACAGTAATTGTGGAGCTGATTCAGAATTTTGTGGGTTTTAAACTATGGGAGTTGGGTTCAAACAAAAGAGCAATCTTTACACGTGAAAAAGGGAATCCACCATGAAAACGATATGGAGTTATGATAGACTAGGGAAGAAAGGGATGAATTGAGGAAGCAGACAAACCCAAAAACCTGCCCCACTGCAGAAAAATTCCCTCGCTTCCCTCGCCCTTACTCTACAGTTTTATACCTTCACCTAACCTTTCTCCCTCTCCTTCCTATCGCGGCATGAAACCTCACTGCTCCATGACCAAATTAAAAAGAAACAAAACACCCCTTGGAGTCAATGGTTACTGTTTCTATTTCACCTCCGCCGTCCTCCTCCCGCCGGCTTCTCGGGATTTCTCTTTAATAACAGCAAAAGGGGTTTATCGGAATCCCAGCCCCCTGAGATTCTCTTCCTTCTTCGTTTGTCATCATTTTCAGAGAAGATAAAGAAAATGTATCCAAATGGTAATCCAAACACTTTTGGTACTTGAATGAGAAACATGAGATTCTTAGGGGTCGATATGATATTTTCAGTCACGGTGTGAACCAAAACGCTGCCGTTTCAACTAACAACAAATGGAGAATTCTTGAATGAAGCGCCCACTTGGATTGGTGGTTACGTGTCCTAACGTCTTTCTGGAAACTGGTCCCACCGTCTGACGAACATTCGTTAGCGCGCCTTAATATTCCGTTAGCCGCCGTTAATGGAATAAACCCCGCAAAACCCCCCCGCCTTTAGAAACGATTTTCTTCGCACAACCAAATCGAAATCGCCGCCGCCGCCACTGCCGTCGCAAGATGGCCTCTCGCCCCGTCCTCCTCCGACTGAGATCGCAGCTCCTCCGCTCCACGAAAACTACCGCCGCTTCCGGCTCCTGCACCAGCATCTTCTTCTCCTCCACTCGCCAGATCGCCTCCGCCGCCAGATCGGAGCGGTTGATTCTGTCCCCAATTTCAGATCTCCGCGCGGCGTACGGCGACTCCGCCTCGATCTCAGGTCTACGGCTCTTCTCCACGGCGCGCCGCCACCCGGCGCGTCCGAAGACCGTGGACATCGGAGCCCGAGCTCGCCAGATGCAGACCAGGCGGCTGTGGACCTACGCGATCGCGTTCAGCTGCGTGGCCGGGTTCATCGTCATCGTCCTGAACAATTTCCAGGACCAGATGGTGTTCTACGTGACTCCCACCGACGCGATGGAGCAGAACAAGGCGAATCCGAAGAAGACGAAGTTCAGATTGGGAGGATTGGTACTGGAAGGCAGCGTGGTCCAGCCGGCGTCGTCGCCGGAGATGGAGTTCGTGGTCACTGATTTGATTACGGATATTCTGGTGAGGTATAAAGGGGCTTTGCCGGATTTGTTCAGGGAGGGGCATTCGGTGGTGGTGGAAGGATTCGTGCGGCCGATTACGGAGGAGTTGAGGAAGGAAACGGGAGGCAAGAGTGTTTCAGAGAAGGCCAGGGGTATAGATGTTTACTTCTCGGCGACGGAGGTTTTGGCCAAGCACGACGAGAAGTACATGCCTGGGGAGGTTGCTGCTGCGATTGAGAAGAACAAAAAGAAGCTGGAAGAAGATAAAGAAGAAGGAGCAGCAGCAGCAGCACTAGCAGTGGCAGATGAGAAGAAGTGACGAATTGGGTTTGTCTCCAAATTCTGATTCATTGACTATAGATTATCCTCGATGGGAGAGCTCCATTAATCAAGCCACATGAGTTGAATTTTTGTTGATGTAGGTTAGATACATAAAAGAGGGAATACTTAATGATTCTTATGGAGCAGCTCCATAGCCATAGTTTACTTCAATTGTTGTGTTGTTACTGCAAGTTGATTTGAGCATTGATACTTCAATTTTGTGATGAGAAATTGACTATGATTCCATTGGAAAACTGTTGTGATTGAATTTAGATAAATAGAAGGAAAGACAATGAATGGATGACTTTGATGTCAATAAAAGTCCACTACTTTGCTCCGGATGTAAATCAAGTTTTCCCATTTCTTTTCTTATGTACTTTCATGAGACTTTTTGTTAGCCAAATTGCTGTTTCTCTGGACGACACAGCTTCTTCGCCAAAGGGTTTCAGCACACCTTCTAGTTCCTCGAACCGTTCACGTCTGAGCAGGCTTGCACAGATCTCTAACAATGATTCCAGTGCTTCAGCTCTTTGGGTGCTCTGAGCATCATCCCATTCAGTCCTGAACTCTTCTCCCTGCATTAAGCTTGCCGAGCTGCTTTGTCGGGATGGAGCATCGCTGGAGTTGGTGTGTGATTCTTGAGTGCTCTCTTTTCTTGTATGTGTTGCAGCTGCTGGAGAAGCTTTGTCTGTCATCCTGTCAGTTGGAGGTGCTGTTATATTCTTAATGCAGTCTTTTGGTTTGGTATCTTCGAATGTTGGCTTGTAGTTCTTCATCAGATCAGAGACCTTCTTGCAGACATATTCAATGTGTTTCTGCTGGAAAGCTTGCTTGCTGTTATTATTACATGGTGGTGGCCTAGCAGCAGCCTTTGGTTTATTACTATTATCCTTGGTGGTGCCATGCTCAGACTTTACTGGGAGAAAGACAGGAGATGGGTTTTGGCATTGAGCAACATATGGCTGCAAGTGCGGGTGTCGCAACAACTCGGCCGCCTAAAATTCGACAAAAGGTTTAAACTTCGAACCGAAACACGAATTTCTGTGACAACTGACGAGGGGAAAAATTAGGGAATTCAGCTGCAGCTGAGGATATGTATTTTACCGTAGGCCGGTGCTCTGGGCTCTTCCTTAGCATAAATTTGATCAGTTGTTTCCTGTTGGATAGAAAGCAACCCTTGATGAGCACATGAGGCAACATTTTATCCAGGGAAGATCAGGAAGGTAATAAAGTTGATGACTGTACTCACAGTGTAGATGAGTATGAAGGTGGTAGTGGAGAAATGGAGCCACGGTTTATCTTGTGAATTAGTCCCGCCATATCCTGTTACAAGTTCATGAAAGCATTTTGAGAGCTGTTGTAGGAGTTCGTCATTAGTTGAGAAACTAGTGCTCAACTTACAGGAGCTCTGAATGGAGGTTGATGTGCTGCTATCTCAAACATACTGCAGCCTAGTGACCAGATATCTGATTTGTAGCCGTAGGGTATATCTGCAAGAAGCTCTGGACACATGTATTTTGGAGTTCCTACCACCTACGAAATAGAAAGCAATAAGCTTTTGCCAAGATGATTCCTGGTCGAGTAAAAGGAGGAGAAAATGTATTCTTATCAAAGGCATTACTGTGGAGGCAAGGTCATCTTTGCCAAGCAATTTCGCCAGTCCAAAGTCACCTAAACACGCAGGAAACATTGATGTGATACATTTGCAGACAACTAAATTTGAGGTATGTTCCCTGAATTCTCAAGTTCTCACCTAGTCGGATGTCGTTGCTTTTGGAAAGGAATATGTTGGAGCACTGACACCAGAATTTAACACCACAAACATTATTGCAGAATCATCTTAATTATAATATACAGCCTTTATAGAAGGATTCAGAAGCCTACTTTCAAGTCTCTGTGAAGAACACGATTGGAGTGGAGATAGTCCAATGCTAGCAGAAGTTGAGTCAGCCACTTGCAGAGCATCTACACCATGTTGAATGGAAAGAGATTGAGTTAATCGATCCAAAGGAAAAAGCATAAGACATCCCAGTGGAGGTATATATCTCTCTTTCCTTGGCTTCTTACCTCTTCACTGAAGTAAGTGCCTCTGGCTCTCCTTATCATCTGATCCCTGAGGAAAACTCAAATGTAGAAACGAATTACTCCTCAGCCTTACATTTCATAGGACAATCAATCTTAATAGTTCAGTCCAAACTTACATGTCTCCACCCTCACAGTAATTTGTCACAATACACACGCATTCCTGCAGACTCACGACAACCAAAATTGTGGCGATTAACATCTGCAGAGCTTTGTATTTTGCAGAAACAGAAAGCGGGTAGGAGCAATCATTTGATATCTTACCTTCCCGACCCAGGAGTCCTTGTACTCGACAATGTACGGGTGGTTCAGCTCCGCAATCAAGTTCATCTCCTGGACCGCCGTCTGCTTGAACCTCTCAGTCTGTCTCGCCAGCTTGATCTTCTTCATCACGTACCTCCTGTTCTCCGGCTTGTTAACGACGAGGAACGCTGCTCCAAATCTCCCCCTCCCTATCTGCTCCGCCACGTCATACTCGTCTTCTTTGCTCCTTCCCTCCATCTCTCCCTCCCAGGTATGCTGTTTGTGCTTGTTCAGATTCCTACCGCCATTTTTGGTGGGATGAGGATACTAATATATACAAACAACAAATGCTTTTGTCAGGAGGGCAGGGGGGAAAGAAAAGTGTGATGGAGTAAATGTTCTGTGTCTGTGGATGTGACAAATAGACACAGAAACGTGAATCATGCTGTATTGAATTCTTACCCCAAATGCCCAATATTACCCGGAAGAAGGGATTCCTATTAGAGTCTGCCAGTCCTCAAGCAGAATGTGAAGCTTTCAATTGGAGCAGAGCCCCAGAGACCAAAGAATGGTGTGAAGTTATGGAGAGGAAGGAAGAGATGCAGAATTGAGGCAGAAGCAATGGAAAAGGAAGGAGGGAAATGAAGTTTTGCAGGTGACAGATATGCCAACCGTGGGAAAGGGGCATTGCTTGCAGTCTGGGATTCCTCAGGCATCATTACTCCCATTTGGTTGCTATGTCACAATCCTATTTAACTCCCAAGTCATTTCTCACTTTCTTCCTTTTACTCATTTGGCCTCCCCTTTTCTTTTCTCTCTTCCAATGGCTGGATTGTGTAGACAAGAGACTACACGTGTATTTACTTTACTTTAGAGATCAACTTTCTAAACACTTTCCAGTATTATGTAATCCAATTCGAGATGATTTTATCAATCCTTGACTTGCCTATCAAATTTATAGATGATGTATTTTCTGATTACACTTCGATCGCTAATTTGTATTATCATACCTGATTTGGTTGTCACCACAAGGTATAGGAGGTTTTCTGTACCAAAACTTTGTTTACGTGATTTAGTCAATGAAAAAGATATGAACTTGGAAAATTACAGTTGTTTAGTTTCACTAGTGCTATGTTGTCAAGAATCATAGGGTTGTTACTTGTAGAACAAAGACAAAATAGAAGCCATTTAACATTTTGAAACCCAAAAACATGGTTATTTTGCAATTCTAACACGAACCATTATGGAACATACAAAGGAAACAGATGTTAAAAGCACCATGGTAGCTAAGAAAAAGGTTTTTGCTGATTTTGATTCACCTACTGACTTCTGTTGCTACAACAACAATAGTTGAAAAATGAAAAATACAACTAAACATGCGTTCGATGTCTCTTCTTCCAAAAGTGGAAAACAAAACGCAAAATCCACACGATTTCAATCTTGAAATTGTGGGCCAAGTTTGAGGCCCATTTAATTGCTGGCCTCAATTATTTTTTACTTCGACTGCAAGTGTTTTACTCGGCCCGGCCAAACTCACTTAGCCCAGTACAAAAAAAAAACTCGTCGGAGAATGGTACCGGTGATTACCCTTTTTAAGTTCGACGGCGATGGCAAAAATGGGGAAGTGGACAGTGGTGGGAGGGAAGAAGAAACGGTACACGCGCCACCACTAGCGACCAGACACGTCCCACAGCCTTAACTCAGCAAATATCGTTCGTTGGCAGATAAATTTTTGCCTTTGTTTTTTCTAAAACGTATCCAAATTATTAAAAAAAAAAAATTATCTCCCCAAATCCAAAAAGAAAAGAAAATCGAACAAAAACTACTCAATCGAAGCTTAGAAAAAGAGGGCACAATCGCCTCTCTCTCTTCAGCTCCTCTCTCCCTCTCGGCTCTCCCCCTCTATCCCAGGCGATCTGGTCCATTTGTTCTAGGGTTAGGGTTCTTATCAATCCCTTGTTTCTCGTTCAATTCCGGGGTTTAGTCCCTCAGTCTCAATTCCAATCGGTGCATGTTGATTAGCTCTGTTTTGATTTTACTGAATGATGTTTTGTTTTGGGGGGTTTGCAGGGAGGGGCTTGATTCATGCGCATATAAAAGCCGAGAAATCGGTACGAGAGCAATCAAATTCTCACTCTTCAGCAGGTTTTACTATTGTTTTCCTCCTTTCTGATTACCTTATGATTTGAATTTCGAGTGGTTAGCCTGTATGCAGAGTGATTCTGCGCAATTGTGGGGATGTTTCTGGGTTTCTTTTGGGGGGCTTGGATGATGAATAAAGTCTGGAACTTTTTGAGGTTTTAGCTCTCTGAGCTACCGGTGGTTAATTGGTTGGGGGTGGAGATGAAAGAAAGTTGCTGTCTTTTTTCTGGTGAAAGTTTTGATCTTTTTCACGTAATTTCCTTCTGTGGTTAAATATTCAAGCTCGGTTAGGTGACCTGTAGTTTGTTTCAATTTAGGAGCTTTTATTTGGTTGAGGATTTTGGTGGGGAAGAATCTGGAATTGACAGTCTGAGCTCCATCTTCACAGAGTAGTGACAGACATTGCAGACTTGTTTTTTCGGTGTTGTGAGGTTTTGATCTGTCGGTTGACCCAACCACTTTGGGGGGGTTTGAGGATATGGATGAGAATTGTGACATACAGCTTAACATAATTTGCCTGGTTCAGTGGATTAAGAGTTCTTATCTTACATGACTGTCCAGTATTTAGGACAGATCAATTTAGAAGATACTTAGAGTTTGATTATACTTTCTTTTTATTCTCTTAGGGTACTCAACCGGTGTCATCAGATCCTTTTATATTGCTTATATTGATTATAAGCAAGGTGTATGGATATATATCCAAGCTCCAATTGTCATTTAGCTTCTGATTCTATTATATGTGAATATCAGATGCTTGTCTTTCTTGCAGTGTAGTTGTACATCACTAAGACTAGCCGATGGCTTTAACGTGTCCCGCATTTCCACTAGCCTTTGTTCATTTTCTTGTAGTACTTTGTGTATGATCCGAGTCAAGTCTTGTATACCTCAATCAGTCATCTGAATATATCTAACATGGTCATTGGATATTTCAGAAGTGAAAATGGACCATGACGAGACAGACTGCCAAGCTCCTCCAGACCATCCTATATTGTGTGTCAACAACTGCGGCTTTTTCGGGAGCGCTGCAACAATGAACATGTGCTCGAAGTGCCACAAGGACATCCTGCTAAAAGAGGAGCAATCCAAGCTTGCTGCATCATCAGCAGCAAGTATCATGAACGGAACATCCATCACCACCCTTGGAAAGGAACCTGTTGTTGCTCTTGCTCCTGCCCCGATCATCAATGTACAAGTCAGTTTGGAAGAGCCAACACCAATCTTGGTGCAGCGATCTTCTGCTCCAGGTGTGGCAGAGAGCAACGAAGAGAAACCGAAGGAGGTGGGGCCTAACAGGTGCAACACCTGCAACAAACGGGTTGGTTTGACCGGATTCAAATGTCGATGTGGGCACGTGTTCTGCGCGAATCATCGCTACTCCGACAAACATGGTTGTGCCTTTGACTACCGCACTGCTGCACGTGAAGCTATTGCGAAGGCTAATCCCCTTGTGAAGGCGGAGAAGCTCGATAAGATCTAGAGATGGTCATGGGGATAAAGGATGTGCTTGTTTTTTCATCTACTCGGGATTTCATTGCCAACTATCCTATGAAAGGTGTCCCGGTTTAGGAATCACGGAGAGGGCGAAGGGAAAGAGGAAGAGAGCGGGGAGGGCATCTATGGCAGTATGGAAAGGACTTTACTATGATGTTGTGATATTGGCGAGGATTTATATGTTGGCTCTGAGTGTGTGTTGAGTGTTGAAGTTAGTCACTTCTGGGTTTATGATGTGTCACCATGTTTCATATGGCATTTTACCGTGGTAGTACGTGGTCTAAGGAAAAAAAAAAATCAGATGTCCAGTTTCTCTTGTAGTGGATATGAAAGACTCCTTTATGATTTATGGCCGTTTATCGTCTTAAACTCTGTAATTCCATGGCTCTTTGCGACTACGACCGACTCCAAATCCTTCTCCCATTGTCATCTGTCATGTATCAACTCGACATCGAATCATTGACTGCCCTTAGTTGCTCAGTATGGATGACAATGGTTTATTCTATACAGGAGTCTGTTTCGACCGTATGTAAGTAATACCATCAGTTAGAAGTTAAGCGATTCTTGGATCAAGTTCGAATTGAAATAGCATTGTATCATATTCGTCTTGAATCAACCTATGAATCAAGTTCGCTTCCGAATGGAACTGGATCATTCTCCACTCTAATGCTAGGCCAGTTAAAGCGATTCTTGGATCAAGTTTGGATTGAAAGGCATTGTATCAGATGCATCTTCAATCTACCTTTGAATCAAGTTCGATTCTGGACTTAACTGGATCATTCTCCACTCTGATGCTATCCAACATGAGAACATTTATGGAATACGTAGAGGAAATGAGGGATGAAGCATAGCCTATGGCGCAATCATGTTCATGGTGGGCATCTCTCTGTTAACTCGGTACAATATGACAGCTCATGCCAACCAACTTGTGAAGTAGATTGGTCATTGTGAATAGTAAATGCCTAAATGGCAGGCAGGCTTCAGAGTTTGAGGGGCCTCCAAACGAACCTGCCAGATCTTGTTTCAACTAGCAAATCAACTGTTACTTCGTCGTGCTGGTTCAACCACATACCGATGAACAAGCTGATACGATTCTATCATTCTCGAGAAGAAAGTAAAATACATCGTAATTGAACTGAACATGAACAACAATTTCCTGCAGTTCCCAGCCCAAAGTAATCTATGTTAGTTTTGCTTGCATTGTGTTAAATCACACTGTCACTCCCCTCTAGTCAAAACCCTCTAATCACCAACATCTTTACAAACTGATTCTAGGACTTCAATAACTCAAGGCATTACAATGATACTCCCGAGGCGGGTTCAGATTCAAGATACTTACAGATCCTCTCCATAACCTCCCTCCCCTTCACGCTGTTCTTCATGAACCTCTCCGCGCACTTCTGCTCCAACTTCTCGGCCATTGATGCCAGAGCAGAGAATGGCTTGATACGAATGCTCGTCTGCTGCTTGCAAACCGTCCACCCACTGGGGTTATCCGGGTGAGGCTCGTACCTTATGCGCTCTTCCACCTCGATGAATTTCTCGAGGCTAATGTTACGAGTCGTGAGCTGCATTGACTTGTTCCGTCCATCCACGACCGTCGACTCCACGCAGTTGCAGATGTCCTGCCCCACGATCTTGCGTATGAACCAGGGCCCCGGTGCGTGGATGATCAGTGCACGAGTAGTGTAGAGCTTCCCAGTCTGAGAGTCGAGCTTCTGGTTCAGCGTGTCCACAGCGAGGACGTGGTTTAATGTTCGCTTGTTCTCCGGGTCGGAGTACTTTCGCCATGATGCTGATGTTACCCTCTCCCATGGATGCTTGTAGACATGCTCCTGTGTGTATGCTTTTACCATCTTTAACTTCTTCTCTTCCTCCCCTGTAGTGTAGGATCCAAAAATAGTATTAAACAAAGGGAAAAGAAATCCACCAATTCCCAATTTGAGGGAAAAACGAAATGAATCCCTAAATTGTTCAATCGACAGAACCCTTATTTCCAATTGTAATCCGGATTCCTGAGCTAGATTTTAACCAGTAATTCATAGACACCTGTTGTTCATCATCGAGCTGGGGGAGAACTACACTACTAGGGACCAATTTCAATTATCACTCCGGGATATACTTAGCAACTAATTAATTACTCGTTCACTAGCAGATGCGAAGAGTTAACCGGCGAGCTGCGGTTTCCAGGTAAGATCCGATCAATTACAGAGGGAACAAGACAGAAATGGAACAGCGAGAGAAGGTAGCGACGAAGGGATAGGGTAACCTTTTGAGTGACAGAGCGATGCTGCTTCGGCTTCGGCAGGTGGGTGTCGTCGGCGTAGAGAAGAATTGAGTTCCGGAGTTTGGAGAAGAAGTCAGCCGGCGAGACGGTGGAGAGAGAAAATGAGAAAAGCACGGTCGGACTGGTTGAATTGAATGAATGATGGTGGCGACTGACGGTGGTGGTTTCGGTGGAGGATGTTTGACGAAGCTTTTTTGGGCGCAGCCGCCATAATTGGGCGGGCTGAGAATTTCGTGGTAAAAAAGCCTACGGGAGTGCAATTTTAAGGCTAAAAGCCCAATACTATTAGACCGACCACGGACAACAAGAGACCCAACGGGCCAAGGTGTAAACTATGGGCTGCATCTTCCGGTTGTCCATAACAGCAACGGGGCGTTGGGTATCTCAATATTTATTTGCATCCAAAGTTTTTTTTTTTTCGTTGAATCAGCCTCTTTTATTGCTCAAAAACGAAACCGATACAACGAAACAGGGTCACAAGGACCCCAAAGCCAAAACTACGATCGCCACAATCACTTCCTACCCAGCCCAAACCACAAAACTACTTACAGTAAGGAAAATGAGAACAGAAAGAAAACAAGCTCACTAACAGTTCATATATAACCCAGCCCCTCCAATTCCACCTGCAACTCCTGACGACCAGCAACTATGAACCGCACCTCTTCTTGTAGAAGTTCAGCTAGCTTAGCAGAAGGTTTACAAGCCGAACCATGAATCACAGCACATCGTTCTTTCCACACAAAAGATAACAGAAAGCACCAAAGCATCGCATGCCAGTGCCCCAGCTTTGAATCTCTGCTAACTGTACCCACCATCCCATTCAACATGTCTTCCCAATTACTAAATTGAGACAAATTAAACCGAATAGCAGAAGCAACCTGTTGTGTGTAAGGGCAATGCACAAACAGATGCTCCCTTGTCTCAGTAGCCCCCCCACATAGTGGACAGGATGCAACAGTAATCTTCCCCCACTGCAAAAGCTTATCTCGAGTAGTAATGGAGTTTCTAGTTATAAGCCAGGTTAAGAAATTGTATCTTAATGGGCAGGGCTTACACCACACCAATCCATACCACTGCACTTCAGGCTCTCGAGTACGCAGAGTTTCCCAAACCAGTCTAACTGAATATTTCTTCATCAGCGTAGCCCCCCAGTAAATGTCATCATTGCGCTGATGTAACCAAGTCTGGACCAAGCCTCTCAACTTCAGCAATCGTCGCCACGCCCAAGAACTACTGTAAGATAGCTTCATAGTCCACAAACTTCCCTGTTTACATTTATAGGCATACATCCAAGCAACCCATAGAGTCCCTGACCTCAGCAAAAACAGCCAGAGCAATCTCACAGAACAAGCATGATTCCAACTTACCAAGTCCTTCACTCCCAATCCTCCCTCTTTTTTAGGAAGAGCAATAGACTTCCATGCTATTTTTGCCCTGCCTTCAGTAACTCCATGCCAGAGGAATTGCGAACAGACCTTCTGGATACGCTTGAAAACCAGTTTAGGCAATACAAACAGCTGCATCCAGTAATTAACAATACCAAGCAACACAGAGTTGAGCAATTGAAGCCTCCCAGCATATGTCAATTTCTTTGCCCTCCAAGATTTCATCCTCTTTGTGATTTTATCTACTAAAGTATCAATCTCTTTCGAGGATAATTTGCCAGTTATCAAAGGCAAACCCAAATATCTAACAGGGAGCTGTCCCTCCTGGAATCCAGAGAGACTCAATGCATTCTTCTTATAGGTTACAGACTCTCCACCAAAATAGATTTCACACTTTGCCGGATTACTATTCAACCCTGACATCTGATAAAACTGCTGTAATATAGTTTTGACTTGCAATATTGCCTGAGCAGACCCCACCGTGAAAACTAAGATATCATCCGCAAAGCAAATATGATTCAAAGAAATCTTCCTACATAATGGATGAAAGGGAACCGCCCCTGACTGCCCTGCTTTCATTAGCAATGACGAAAGCCCTTCCATAGCAATAGTGAAAAGATAGGGTGACAATGGATCACCCTGTCTCACCCCCTTTCTAGCTCTAAAAAAACCACACAAGCTACCATTAACATTTATACTATAATGAGCAGTCTGGAGGCAGCCTTTAATCCAAAGTCCAAACCACACTAATTTGGCTCCAACTTGGTCGGGTAGGTAACAAGTTGGCTCAATTAGTGACCCGAAAAGTCTTGTTTTTGTCACCTTGCATGTTGTAGAGGTTTGATGTGCGGTTTGTTGGTCGGCGTAGAAATAGGGCAGCCCACTTGGTGGCTAGAAAGGCTCTGCAATTGTACCCGACCTCGAGTCGTTCCTTTAATTTTTTGACCTGGCTTAATTCCAGGATGTAACTACCTTTGTTTCTGATCAATATACTGATTATCTTTTGGCAAAAAAAAAAAAATGTTGTAGAGGTTTGACTTTCTGTCTTGTTTATATAGTCTATAGGTTGTATTTTTGTTTGGGTGAGATTTGTAATGGTTTCTCTTCGTGAGAGAGATCTAATGACAAAGAAAAACATTGTATGGACTAGACCAGAGAGCTAATATACTCTTTCTAACATATGGTTTTTTGGAAAAGAAGCACGAAGACATAACTTCAAATAAGCGATTAGGTATAAGATCGAATTCGTCTTGCAATTATCTAAACTCAAATTGATCAAGTCAAAACAACTTTTTTATGTCGAGTAAGTGTTCCTTTTTATAGAAACCTATCAATATAGAATGGTTTCGGAACGAGGTGAGTCACGACAAATGTGGTAACTATAACGATAGTTAATCTTGTGATGAAAGGGTTGAAACGGGGAACTGACCAAGAGTTAAGATATACATATATGTGGGTGAAGTAAGATCCGAAGGTTGAGGTTTAACGAGGCTTTGGAAGAATAAACAAGAAACTAGGGGGGTAATTAAATTAATCTTGTTCTATGTGGAAAAATATCTTTTTACTACCCCCAATTAATCTGCACAATAATAATATTTTTTGCTTAGAACAAGATAGTGCCATGCACATGCCCTCTTTCACTTATAAACAACTAGTCTTTTACGTACGTGCTTTTGGATTCTTCTCCTTCTTCTTGATCTTCTTTTGGTCAATAGTTTAATTTGTAGATTAATATTCAATTAATATATGTATATCGAAGTTGAGAAGTTACCATTAGTTACGTTCCATTGTCGAGGTAGGCAGGTGGTGATTGTCGACCATATATCATATTAAATTTTTTACCACCATCAATTTGTAATTTTTCCCCCCTGTTATATATACTACTAATAATGTAAAGCAAGTCACGAAATATTAAGTAGAATTAACACAAGGTTAAGGATAAGAACAACATTAATTAGTTACAATCCAATCACAAAGTAACTGTATCCAAATTGACATCAAATTCACTCGATCTTATATGAAGCATGGTGGAACTCTAATATCGTGTAGAATAAGGCGAAGGAATAAACAAACAAGGACTTTTTTTTTTCATTGCACAAGTTATTGAGGATACAATTTGATGTCGATCACAACGACTAAAACTAACAGATCTAACATTCCAACCCTAGCTAATAGGCAGTTTTCGCTCCAATTGTCTTTACAAGTTAGAAACGACTAGCTAGCTAGTACTCAACATGCCTGAGTACTGGGTTAGACCCGACCATTTCGAATATGAATATACGATTCGATTTACTTTTGAGTTTGCATATACATTTAAATGCATATTGTAAGTGGGTTTTGTTAGTGAGTGGTATAAGATCTATTATTGAACTCCGCTCTCAACAACTCGCGAGTTATTGAGACCAACTGGTTCTTGACAGTTTATTCTTACTATTTTTTAACATGAAGGTTTATGCTTACGTTAAGACTATGGAAATACAAAATTCTATATGAGTTTATGATTCTTAGGAAATTAGATGACGATCAAGGTTGTCAAACCGGTTTATGCCAGTGTGTCGGTTTAGCAAGTGGAATGGTTCAACCGGTGGCACATACCGGTTTGTGCCGGTTCATGCCGATCAATATTACAAATAAAATTATAAATACTCATATTTAAACATGTCATTTAACGTCAATACCTAAACATTTATACTTGAATCTAACAAATAACATCAATATTTAACTTTTATACTCATAAAATAAATAATAAAATAATTTTTATCAATTAAATTCTCTAAAATAAGGTCATTTTACTTAGAGATTCGTATATCGATCATGCCGGTCATACCGGTGGTGTCACGCCGGTTTTATGATCGGTACCGGTTGAACCAGGTACAACCGGTGGCACGCCGGGCGGCGTGACAACCATGATGACGATACATACCTCAGAATATCATTGTGAATAAAATGAGATTTGATAGACCCTAATCATTGCAACAATGACCAAGTTCTACAGATTTCTGTTTGGAAATAGAAGAACTCGCAGATCTTTAAGGGATAGAGGATTAATGTTAACCAATTAAGTAACCTTGAGTTTTTATAGCATATCAAAACTAGTGAAATAAGAATGTCGAAAGGGTACACAAAGTTTCTAGTGTATCTATCTGCGTTTGGGTGAATCGAGAAGCAAAAGAGTGGTTGTTGGTAAGTGGTAACTTTTATGAGGCCGGCCGCAGACAGTGCTGACAAATACCAAACTGACCCACGAGACGACGATCGACCATGTTCATCGTCATCGGAGACTGAGCTAGCTAGACCGCGCGCGGCCGGCCGTGGATTCAATTGAAAAGGAAACTCTTTCCAAAAACAGAATATTCTAACTACTTTCACACAGACAAATGGAAGTTAATTATAACCGAATATTTCTATCGATTCCTAAAGAGAGGAAGAAGAATGCCATGATATTCGGGCTAGCTCGGTACTAGTTCTAGTTCTAGGGACTGATTTTTTTTTTTTTTTTTTTTACTTAGACCTATGCTCGATCGATCTATCAGGATTTGTGTCATATGAGATGTGATTCATATGAGACGGGACGTGGATCTTACTTTCGATCGGTATTCTTTCGTTGCTCATTTTACATATCTACCATTCTTCACAATTTTCTTTAGTCGTATTTATGTTATCTAACTCTTTCAAACAATAATTCAGACATGACTTGGTGTTAGCCTCCACGTATTCTAAATTGTATGTGTGGGGATTAGCAATCTGCAAATCAATTGATTATCACGAACAAAGATATGGGGAGGTCGTCCTCTTGGCTGAAGGGGTGCAGTTTGTGGAGATTGATAATCCTATGGT